AAAAAGGGGGGGGGGGAGAGCATCTGAATACTTTCAGCAATAAAGATGAGTTTTTAAAAGCAACCTTCTTTAAACGACTTGAGGCCTCTTCTGCCCTCTCCTCTGGGCGTTTTGTCTCCATCGGCCCCTTGTCACCTGTGGAATCCAGTGTCCACGCATAGCTTTCACTTCTTACGACAGGCGGTCGACGGCGCCCTCCTGCTCCTCGAAATGCTCGCTTGGTTTGGCCGCCTGGTCGCCGCTGTCTCCTGCTTTCCCTTCCACCCGCTGGTGCTCCTGCGTCTGCAGCTTCTCCTCCCCCAAACCACTCAGTGTGGGCCATTTTCCTTCCAGCCGTACTTTATCCCAAGGCAATTTCTATCCCAAGCCATAGTCCATGGCTGTGAATAACATCCGGAAACGTAAAGCTTCCAAATTTTTATCTCTAGCTTTGCTTCTCCTGGGCGCCAGATGCACACATCCAGCTGTTGACTCACCACCTCTGCCTGGAGGTCTAATAGGCATTTAAATGGGGTCTGTTCAGAATGAGGGACACCACAACCACCCAGGCCTCCCTTCTGATTTCCCCTCGGTGAACGTTACCGTCCTTCAGCCAGACTGAAACTCTAGGAATCATCCTTGGTGCTTCTTTTTAGCTCCGACCCTGCATCCAACCATCCAGCAAATTCCATTGACTCTGCCTTGAAAAGAGGTCTGGTCTGACCACATCTTACTCCCTTTCTCATGCAAACTACAGTCTGTCTTACCTAGATGACTGTGAAGTCTCCGATTTACTCTCCTTGCTTCCGCCCCTGTTCCTCTACAATCTTTCTACAAATAGCAGTGACTTTTTTCAAATATAATCAGTTTTCACTTCCCTTCAAAACCTGTTGGTGGCTACTTATCACAGTCATGAAAATCAAACTCTTACAATGGCTTCAAAGCCCTGTGTGACCTAACCCCTGACGGACTCTTTCTCTGACCTCATCCTCTCCCTCTCCCTTGCTTACTCCACTGTAGGGACCCTGATCTTGCGGCGATTCCCTTTGCCTGCCCTGGGCCTTTGCTCGACCGTCATGGGCTGTGCACCTTCACTTCCCTCACTTCCCAGCTGAAATGCTCTATCTCAGCGATTCCTGCCAGAGTCCTTTTGTAACACTTTTTGTTACTGCCCCTCAGGTGGGTTGCTGTTAAATACTGGTATTCCATGAAGCTGCCGGTTGCTAGGACTCTCTAATGTTAAAATGCACAACCATCTTTCTCTTGAGCCTCATTTTGATAAGATATACAGTCCGCCCTTGAATTCTGTGTTTTTATAAAATGTTCTTCCTGGTTGGGAGAAGATTTTCCCTTTAGTGCCAGTTCTCATTTTTAAATATAGAAAATGAAAGAAAAATACCACCCAGTTTACAGAAAAGAATATGCAATAATGATTTTAATCAGCTCCTTTGCTTCAGTAGGAAGCAGTGGTCTCTGATTTGGAGACTTTCTGAATGGTACCGGTAACTGGTAATTTAAATGGAAAAGAAAAATGAAGTCACTTTTGTTCAGAAAATATTATACAAGTTTTTTAAGTGTAGGGACTAAGCAGACATCAGAATATCAAGATTTTACAGCAAAATTTACTTCTCTTTTTAAAATATATGGGAATGGAAATGAAAAACAATATTTTTATCTTTAGGAAAAGCTGTTGGGGAATAAAGAGACTATTTAATTTATAATGCTTATTTATCATTTTAATCCCAAGGAACTTGTTCTGTGATGTTATCAGTAGTATATGTATTACTCTACCTTCTTTTAGAAAAGGAAAAGAATTGTTGTTTCAGAATTGGGATGCTTGAATAAATATGTGCAATGGAAGATTAAATAAAATTTTAAAAATAAGTGGATTTGGAATGTAGATCAAAGAGAAGAGTAGGAGGATTAAAAGGAAGCCAGGCGGGAAGTTAGAATCAAAACATGTGCCACAAGCTTCTGTCTGTGTGAACTAGAGAGCACCCAGCACCTGGAGCTTCCCAGCAGCTGAGCCAAGAGACAGGCTTCACAGATGAAAAAGCAGGTGCCCAGGGAAGGTCTGTTTGTGTATTTTTGCTTTTTTACCTGGTCGAAGCAGGTGTGGGAGTGTGTGTGTGTGTGCACACAAGCACGTGTGTGTGTTTGTTTTCAAGTAATTAAATGTCTACTTGTTCAAGGACCTGTTTTGGGTACTATGGAGAGGATACTGCTCTGTGGTGCTTGTAATTAAGGAGAATATTGGAGAATCCCATTTTGGTTTAGAGTTAGCAAACCCAGACTCTTGGAAATTTTGCATATAGATAGAAAACAAGAGGTCAGAGTTAAACCTGGAGATGGGCCACACCCATCAGGAATGTGCAGGTGTGGCTCATAAGGAATAGACTATATGGGCACCAAGTGAACATGATCTCTGTTTAAAATACAAAACCTAGAGAACAATTTTTTAGATTGTATTATTGTAGAAAAAGGATATTTATAGTTATACATACATTCACACACCTGCCGAACACAGATAACCAATGTTACCTTTTTGTTGTGCTTTTTTTCTAATCTACTCTAGTTTGTTTTACAAAGCTGAGATCATACTGTATATCCTATTTAATATTCTACATTTTTTCACTTATTATTATGGAAGCATTTTCTCATGCCATTAAATTATTCATAACATTCATAAATGTTTTCAATGATTTAATACGATTGAATTCTATTATGTTGTTGCTCTTCCCCAGCTTTTGGACTTTCTGATTGTTTACCTTCAGTGGAATTTTGGCTAGCCCATGACACTCTGTTAGTAATAAAAAAATACAGTGATATAACTCATACTTCAAAATTGCAGTAAAATGTCTTCATTGATCCTGTGACAAGAGAAAGCTGAGCAAATTGGAGGATCTGAAAGAAAAACCCATGTGCAGGGAGCTGGAAGAAAAAAGGGGAGAGAGGTAGGAGATGAGGTTGGAGCTGAAGGAGTTAGATACAGGGCAGCATTGACCATAGTAAGAAATTTTTATTCTAAGAGCAGTAGAAAGCCATTGCTGGGTAACAAGCAAATGGGAGTAACTTGATCAGATGTATGTGTTTAAAAGATCCTTGTGGCTGCTGAGTGGAGAAAGGATTAGATTGAGCAGAGTGGACAAAGGAGACCAGTTAGGAAGCAGTGTAGTGGACTAGGGGAGAGATACTTATCTAGAGTGAAGATGTGGTAGAGAGGGAAAGTGGAGCAATCGGAGATGTATTTTGGAGGTTGAATAGACAGGACATGGTGGCAGCTGGAAGTGAAAATGTAGGAGGAGAAGGGGGGTCAGTGATGCCTCAGGTTTCTGGCTATCATACCAGGCAAGTGATGATGCCATTCACCTTGATGGAGTATTCTGGGAAAATGAGGTGGAAGCTACCGCCCAGGCTACCAAGGAAGACAAGTTAAGAGTGCTGTGCAATACATATTATAAGAGATGTGAGCAGGATATTATGGGTGTCCGGGGGGGAGTACTTAACCTGACAATAAAAGAAAATGTTTTCTGCCAAATACGATCCTTGAGCTGTGCCTTGAAATGCATGCACCATATTTATATTCACTTAATTTTCAGAAATGCAACATAATCGCTCATTTAAAAAATCCAACAAGATATATTTGGATTGACTAGTCCTATTCTGATTGAGTCAGTAATTTATATAATACAGATGATAAAGAGCTATCTGTTTGGCTATCTCTCTAAACCTCAAAAACTATGTTAGTCATATTTGGAATTGTCTCATTCATTCATTCATTCTGAAGGTGTTTTTGAGTGGTTACTATGTGCGAGACTCTGGGGATATAGTGGTGTACAAGACAGATTTGGTCATTGTTCTAGTAGATTTTACAGTCTACTAATTTATAGCCTACCAGTGGGAAAAAAGAGAAACTGAGCAGATAATCATACACGCTGTTAATTAAATGTAGTCGTGTTTAGTGCCTTGAAGGGAAGATACAGCGTACTACACTCCTATGGAGCCCATAACTCTAACGTTTCTAATACAAGCTCTGGTACCTCATGAAAAATACAGGCGCTGGTTTACTTAGACTATAAATAAGTATCAATAGGTAATATTTTCTAATTCTTTTATTTATACTGGGCCTTTGCCATCCTTATAGATTCTGTGCAACCTCCAAAAGAAGAAAATAAATGACAACTGATACGTAATAATGTTATTTCAGTATAAAATCAGGATGGATTCAAATTCCACCTATTCCTGAAAGTATTGATTACCCTAGTTGGGATTTAAAGGGTATTTTCAGCATGAAGTGAAAGGCAAGTCCACATGTTCCTTGTCTGGAGGACACAGGTCTGTCCTGTCATGTCCTGGAATCATGGCACTCCCATGCTGTCGTCCTGGGGTTGGCAGACTTTTTCTGGAAAGGGCCGGATAGTAAATATCGTCAGCTTTATGGGCCATATGGTTTCTTTAGTAACTACTCAACTCTGCCTCTGTAGCATGAAATTAGCCACAGACAGTACATAAATAAGTGCGCGTGGCTGTCTTCCTATACAGCTATATTTACAAAACCAGGCGGCAGGCCATGTTTTGCTGCTGACCTGCTGTAACTCCTTGTCGTGAATTTGGATGCTGTACCAATCACAGGTTAGTTGCAGAGAACAGAATCTACTCTAGCTAGTTGAGGCAGAGAGGTATGCATTAGAAGGTATTATAAGATTTACAGTCTCATCAGGAAAGTTGAAGAGCTAGACTCCAGGTTGAGTTTCTAGGGAAAGCTCCTAGCACCACCTAGCAGCATTGGCCTAGTGTTTCTGGGGCCTTTGCCACAACCAGGAAACCTGCCAAATCAGGAAGCTGCCAGTTCCTGAATTACACCAACTCTGCTAGCGTCTTAACCAGCCACATAGCGGCCTCACGCTGTGCCTGCCTTCATATTTCACCCAGACGTGCAAGCACACCTGACTGGCAGAACCTAACTTACATCTTCAACCCTAGCTTCAGGGGAGTCTGGGAAATAGAGCTTTTAGTACTTGTGTACAGGAAGTTCAGGAAGGTACACTGAAAGGAAGTTGGAATCAATTTTGCATGAGCAAATCTGCAGGAGTACCCCTTTGATGACTTCACGTCCACACCCCCTTCTTTCCTTACCGAAACTTCCAGACAACAATCGTAATAGCAGTATGCTCTCTTCCAAGATAATGCAACTATCCCTCATAAAAACAGAAGTGCATTCACCTTCTCCGCAGGAGGTAAAACCCAGAGTCCACAGGTCAGCACCTTATCGGCAGTGTTTGTCACGAACATTGTCCCCATGACCTAGCACACTCAGGAACTGCGTGGCTTCTCTGCTTTCCTAGGGAAAGGGGAAGCTGCAGAGAGACAGAACTGCCTGATGACTGACGGGATGACAGCTCAGCCTTCAGAAGCTCCCACCCATGCCTTTCATCCTTTCTCCCAGCAAATTGCCTCTGTTTCTAGGCGTTCCTGGTATCACTTCTCTCAATGAAATCCTCTCCGGACCCTGCGTTCATTTGTAGCTATTGGCCTGTCCTTTCCCTCTTAGCTGAGCTTTCCCCCTGCTCAGGCCCCCGCTTCCTTAGACTCCAGCACCCTGCATCTGGTGTGGGGCTCCCACCCTTGCTCTGTAGCTGCTCCCACACACCTCCAGGTGCTAAAAGTGGACTCTGGCCCCTGCTGGGCGCACGCCCTCCTCTGGCTCCAGATACCGATCCGATCAGTGCCTGATTTTCCTTCTGCTCCTTCCTCTCCTTTGTGGGCCCCTCCTCCTCAGGATGCCCTCAGGCCCTGCTTCTGTCTCACCTCTCCTTTCTTTCTACAGTTTCTCAGTTCCTTACGGGAGCTAGCACCCAACTTTTATCCCCCATACATAAAGATGCTCTCCTGAGCATGTAAGTGCCTATGTAAGTGCCTCCTGGACAGCTCCTCTTCTAGGTTACGGGGACCCCACGCTCCCTATATCCCAAACTGGATTAATTAGTCACACACACACACCCCATCTTGGAGAATGGCAACACCACCAAGTTACGCGAGGCTCAGGCTTGGGAGGCACACCTGATCCTTCTTTCTGCCACCCGCCCGCCTTTGTTACTTACTGCATGTCTTAGTCTTCATTATCACGTCCTTCGGTCAGGACTCTGCTTTCTCACTAGGTTATTGCACCAGCCTCTCAACGGATTGTTCTCCCAGTTGAAGGCCTTACCGCCTCCTAGCCTAGTCTCCTTACTGTAGGCATTTTAACCTGTTTAAAACAAGTCAGGTCTTGTCACTCCCCCACTTAACACCTACCAGGGGCTCTCTATCTGCCAACGAGATCAGATGCAAAGTATCTAGGCCCCTTAAGCTCTCTAATCCTGTTTATCTCTCCAGTCTTATCTCTCACCACTACCTTCTTCCAGCCCTCATAAAGGTGGACTGGAGCCACATAAACACCTAGTGCAAAATGATCCTAACAGAATTTGCCCTCTGATGCCTGTGTTTTTGTGAATGCTGGTTCCACTGCATGGAAAACGTCCACCTTTTTCTCGGCCTTACTAATGCATGTGCTGTTCCCTGCTGCAGGTGCCCTTCCTGAGTGCTTTCGTAGCACCTGTCCTCCTGAAGGAAGCACCAGTGCAGTGTGTCCTACTTATCCTGGCTTCACAGCCCTAAAACCCAGCAGGTCTCGGTGCAGAGTAAGTTTTCAACAACATTTATTAATAACATCGAAATGTATTGACAAGTGAAGAAACCATTGATTTTAATGTGTATGTGCCACAAGATGGTGCTGTTTAGATAGGAAAGAAAACAAAGGCTGGAGGATTCAGGCTCTGTACTAGAGGTCTTAATTTTAAATGTGTTAAATTTCAGAGGCAGTGATTTAAACACAAAAGCATTTTCTGTGGTAAACACATGGACAGATTTAAAAATTGTATACATGTATGTAATCTATTATCAAATTATTACTGATTATTTGACTTACTGTTTGGGAGCTTCTCTTCTCAAGTTAAAAACGCAAAAATTAACTCTTAATTTTAGGGCAACAAACTTTTAAAGAAGGTGGTATTAGGGTTCTCCAGAGAAACAGGACTAATACGTCAGAGAGAGAGGAAGAGATGGGGAGATGAAGGGAGGGAGGAAATATATTTTAAGAATTTGCTCACATGATTGTGGGGGCTGGCAAGTTGGAAATCCACTTCCCTTTTCTATCTGTACTCATTCCCTTAATAATTTCATATAGTCTTTAGGTTTAAAATACAGTCTACACACAGATAAATGCCAAATACACATCTCCTAGCTGGACCTCTCCCCCAGACTCCAGGCTCTCTATTCTGTGCTTAGTCTACATCGTTAGCAAATCTTGTCCTACACTGTGCTGTGTTGCGTATTATATTGAATTACATCAGGAGACATATAACGTCTGGCTGTCATCATTAAGACTGATCATTGGATTAGGGTGGTGAATCTGTTCTATCTTTGAATTTTTTTGTTATGTTCATTGAATTTTTTTTCCAGATGCATTGGTTTTCACTATATTGGCCTTTTAAAAGAAATCTCCATAGCTATGTCTTTTTTTTCAAATTGCTTAAATTTTCTTTCCTTTTTCCTGTCCATATTCTGTGATTTTTTTCAAGCCTTTCCACCATGTTTAACTGATACGGTTTTGATTTCATATATTTCATTCTTTGCTGTTTCTATTTTTCCCTGATGGTGTTGGGTCCTTGATTTGTCTACAGCTTACCCTCTCATCTAATTCTGTTATCTCATCTTTAATATTTTTATTTTATTGATTACATATTCTCTTTCGTGTCTCCCAGAGCATTATTCAAGGTGGTTGTCTATAATATAAGAAGCATGCACCGAGAGTAAACCATGCTGCTTTCTTCATTGAGAATGTCTTATAGCAAAAAAAGTCAGCTGAACTAAACAGCACACTTAACTGCTGTAGTTGTTTGACATCCTGGCACAATCTCTGTATCTTGTCATAGACTGGCACCAAAAATTTCGGAGACTAGCAATTTGTCCATGGACTACACTTTGAGTAGCACTGTGCCAGAGCATAAGCATTTGTCGTGTAAATTTTTAGCTTCTTTGTTATATACTCAGTAACAGTAATAGCCGTTAAAATTTGGGGGCAGCAGTGTTCATAATAGTAGTAAACTGGAAACAGCTTACACATCCAGGAACAGGGGACAGTTATAGTACATCCCTATGCTGGAAGATTGTCATTATAAATAGGAGTGAGGACGTTCTCTGTGTGCTGATATGGAAAGCTCTGAGGTCCTAGAATTAATGGGAAAAGCAATTTGTCTGTATACTGGTGTTTGCCAGTGTGTGTATGTGTGTGTGAGTGCACTTACCTGCCGCAGCTAGTTATCAAGACAATGATGTTAAGTTGCCTTAACAAACCTATCTCAATGAATAGTGAAGATTGTTGTAATTGGCACAGTAAATAGATGTCTCTGAATGGTTTGACAGTTATTTTGTTATGCAGGGGAAGCTTCCTTCTTTCTGCAACTTTGCATAGTAAAACCTTTTTCATAATGCAGTAACAAAGCCAGCAGTTAATCCTAACTGGTGAGGAGAGTTCAAATTCATTTGTTCTTATTATTTGGTATGTATGTATGTATGTATGTATATAGCTGTTTAGAGTTATTATGCCTAGAATACCTCTTGGCGGTTGGCATAATATACTATGGAGTCAGAACCTGAAGTACAGATATAATAAATGACAGTAGATGACAATTCCTTCACTATTCAGAGGTGGCAGCAAACCCTTTCACTCTTTATATACCTTAGGAAGAAGTTCTCTGTGATTTCTTATCTTTTCTTCCCATAACAATTTTTTACCATTTTTGCTGAATGGTTTCTTCTAAACCTGAATTATTTTCATATACGAAGCTGTATTACTTATGTCATTGTGAATGTGATTCTGATTTCTTATTGAACTCTGGCCTTTGCCCATGAACAAAAAATAAAAATGCTCTGGAAAATAAACAGTGTGGGCCCATATTTTAAAATATGGGTTCTATATTCATGTATTCTAAATTTTCTCTTTTGATAAAAGAATCCCCCTTGTGACTGCCTATTTTGGAATTACATTACCAACATTATCTGAACATTTATTTAAATTAGAGTCACATGGAATACTTTTCTTTCAGGCTGACCTAATTCTTCCACTCTGAACACAGAAATTTTAAAATAAAAGAATGAGAAAATCACAAGTGTTTGTTTCTATATTTCACTTCCAAACTGAGATGTTAATTTTTCCCTAAGGGAATAAATAGTTTTACTCAGTATTCCCAGGATTAGCTGGAGAAAAGTATTCCTTACTTTTCATAACCCTTCTTATAATTTCTCCACCAGCCCCATGACAGCACTGATGCCTGACCTTAGACAAACAAGAAAGCTCCAAACCAGGGAGATTTTTGCATTTTTGATCTTTTTGTGCTGCCAGTAGAGCTGCCTGCTGGCCAGCTTTAGGGTATTTGCATGCTGTACTGTATTTGTGTTTGATGTAAAAATAAATTTTATACTTAATATTTGAATATTCTGTTTCTTTAGCTTTTCATGTTTCTAATCTACATAATAATTTGATAGTGGAGGAGTTGGATTTTAACTCCAGATGGATAGAGTGGTGTGGAACCTCTTCACTACAGTACCAAAGTAACTCATTTTAATCTGGAGGTTCATAGTGCTAATATAGTACCATTTAAAAGTTCCAAATGCCTCCTATTATATTCCCCTGGACCCTCGGTTTAACGTATCTTTGACTACCTGTAGTAGCCCTTTGAAGCTCACAAAAAACAGGTGATTTTGTTTCTCAATGATCTGATATTTCTTTTCTTAGGACCTATATATTATCTTTTTTAGCTTTTCACGTTGAATGCAACTTTCTATCTTTAATGTTTTGATTACATTTACAGTGTTCTTCTCTCTGTTATTTCTTCTTTTAGAATGAAAAGAAATGCTGAGAAATAAAGCTTTTCTCCTCTGACTTGGATGTTTATCATGGGTATCGGGAAGTCTAAAATAGATCCCTGCCCTCTTTCTCTCTCTCTGGGTAAAAGCCACAGTGTGGATACAAGTGAAAGACGTCCTGAGCCAGAGTCCAGGAGACGCAGCGTCTCCCTGCGCGATGTCGCTGCGCCCAGCGGCACCGTGGAGACAGCGGCAGGAGAGCAGCGGGGAGCTGCGCGCGGGGACGGGGGGCCTGAAGAGGAAGCGGAAGAAGACGTGTTCTTCAAGTTTGTGATACTGCACGCAGAGGAGGACACAGACGAAGCCCTCAGAGTCCAGGATCTGCTCCAGAATGACTTTGGCATCAAACCTGGAATCATCTTTGCTGAGATGCCGTGTGGCAGGCAGCATTTGCAGAATTTAGATGATGCTGTCAATGGGTCTGCGTGGACCATCTTACTGTTGACTGAAAACTTCTTAAGAGATACCTGGTGTAGGTTCCAGTTCTATACGTCCCTAATGAACTCAGTTAACAGGCAGCACAAATACAACTCTGTTATACCCATGCGGCCCCTGAACAATCCCCTACCCCGGGAAAGGACTCCCTTTGCTCTGCGAACCATCAATGCCCTGGAGGAAGATAGTCGTGGCTTTCCTACACAAGTAGAAAGAATTTTTCAGGAGTCTGTGTATAAGATACAGCAAACTATATGGAAAGAGACAAGAAAAATGGTACAAAGGCAATTTATTGCCTGAGATGGAACAGAACAAATGGCTGGCTCTTGTCTCATAAAACAAATGATTTGTCTTCACTTGAGAAAGCAGTTTCCAGGAAAAGTTTAAATAAAACAGATCCTATTCTTATAGGAACCTAGGGAGCACGAGGAAGATAAATTTCTGCTGGACAATCAAAGAATTGTGGTACTTTTTGATGTTTCAGTAAAGTCGAGAATGTCAGTTTCAAGAACACTAGTGTCACAGTTTTCCTAGTTCATGAGTATGACAAAGGATATTCTCAATTCACAGTCTTTGTGTTGAACCTTGAACAAAAACTTGTATGATAGACATTTTAAATATATAACACTTTTCCCTGGCTGGGTGGCTCAGGTGGTTGGAGCGTTGTCCCATACACCCAAAGGCCGCAGGTTCCGTTCCCAGTCAGGGCCCACGCCCAGATTACGTGTTTGATCCCTGGCTGAGGCACATACGGATGCACCTGATCGATGTTTTTCTCTCACATCCATGTTTCTCTCTCTCCCTCTCTCCCTTCT